CTGAATCAACCTTTTGGACCAACTAGCAGTCGTGGAAGAATTTTTGCTGGAACCAACTCACAGTTGTGTTTCATGGAGAGGAAAAATACGAAAACCTACTACGATAAGCCTGGCAGGAAGGGGATTCAAACCCCTGATACGTCAACTGCTGAGAATATTTTACGTCAGCACTGTGGTCAGTTAGAGCTGGGGGCATAATTCAAATCGATCAGCCATGGCTTTGATTTGTACCTAGATTACTTCATTGAAAGGCAAGCATAATATCCCCTCTGTCACAGTGGTTTTTTACGTATAATGGAGAAACTAAAGGTACCAACATGAAAGACACTTTGAAAATCAAGATGTTAAACTATCTTTTAAATATAGCTCACAGATCACATTTCGATCATATTACAGATTCATTTAGATTTCTTCAAATTTATTCAACACTGCTACTCAGTCAATCCGTAATTGTTGATAGAGGGTTAAGGCGAAAATCATTCAGGCGCGAAAGATGACAAGGAAAGATCCAGAAGACAAGGGAACTCCTGGATCAAGTATTGGGAGGAGTTTGCGTTCGTGGAGGATTTTTTAATGGAGCTAACCCGTAATTTTATTACATAGAAAGGGAAACCAGGAAAACCTCCCACAGTTTGCCTGACGGCAAGGGGACTAAAACCCATAATATGTCTACCACTGGGGATATATTACGTTAGCACTATGGTCGGTGCGAGTCGGGCCGGAACTCGTATCCACCAACCATCACTGGGAATCGAATCCGGTTCACCTCATTGAGAGGCAAATGCTGCATCCCCTGAGCCACCACGACTCAATCATAAATTTTTGAAGCACGTGTTTTTTTTTTTTTTTTGGAAGCATGTGGTTTCTAAAGCCAAAGAACGTAGACGGGAAAAAATTAGACAAGTACCATTTTGCCAATAGATAATCTGTAATCGCCTTTCGGCGATCAAAATTTTTTAAAAAAAATTGATTTTGAAAATTAACGATTTGTTTTTAATATTTTTATTCTTTAGTTATAGCATTAGCAGTTTCCGTCAATAATTCATATTTTAACTTAAAAAGTTGAACTTATCCAAAAGGTGAAAATTTTAATAAAAATTTTTATGGAATGAATTACAAAAAATTCGAATTGTGATTTGAATTTAACATTTTAAAGCTTTCAGTCTAAATTTCCTTAACATAATGCAATACTTAGCTTAATTTTTATTTTGAAAAATAAATTTTCATACATTTAAAAAATAAATGTAGATAGTTGGAAAACAAAAATACACACCGGAAAATCACAACGCATTGCAGAGAATTTAAATAATCGCTTGAAAATTTATATGGTATATAGTCTATATATTTTTATATTTTCACAATTAGGCTTGTATTTTTTTTGAAAGAGAATCGAGAACTACAGTTTGACACGTAATACACAATTTAATATTCTATATTAAGTTATTTTTCCTCTTTTTCTTAGGAATAAGTAGGTTGTTTTTTTCTCTCTCTTTTGTGTAAGGGGGGGGAGGAGACTAAAAGCGCTCCAATAATTACATTTATATTGAATGTTTTTATGAAATTAACCTTTTCTTTTAATTTTTAAGGGCAACTTAAACTATCTACTAATTGATTAATATATTTAAGTGCAGGCTCTTGAACCATTGCCATTGAGTGGAAATCCGATCATAAGATCAATAGTTAGTCACGTTTTTTTTTGTTGCTTACTATATATTTAGTACATACCGAGGAGCTTTCTGAAGCAGACAGTTATTAAGTAAATTATTTATAATCACCTTTTTTTTTCTATAGAAGAGGCTTTTTTTTCAATTTCTGTCCTAAAAGATAAATCAAACAAAGTTTTAAAAAAATTTATTAAAAGCGAAATTTTATTTGAATAAAAAATAATTTGAAAACAATTAAAATAATTTTTCAAAATTCAATCCCTATTTTTAAGTTTTTCGAAAAATTTCTTCGAAAGATAAATCAAACAAAGTTTTAAAAAAATTTATTAAAAGCGAAATTTTATTTGAATAAAAAAGAATTTGAAAACAATTAAAATAATTTTTCAAAATTCAATCCCTATTTTTAAGTTTTTCGAAAAATTTCTTCCATAACGCACCTTGCCCGCCCTTCCTGCCCTCCTCACCCGGGCGCAGAAAATATTAATAAACTATATGATATATATATATATA